CACATCGTGGTTATTCATCATATGGGTAAAGTGCCGCGCGATGGTTTGTTTGTCTTTTCCTTGATATCGTCAGTGAAGAATCCTTTCAAAGGCATGTGGCTGTGGTAGGTTCTGTGAAGTACCAATTCATCGCCGCGAGCGTGGTGACAAGGCCGTGCGCTTGATTAGGCTGCTCCATTTTGAGCCTGACGCACATTGTGACCGTTCTGCCTGCAGGTCTGCAGGTCTCTCGGCCGCTGGTGACGTTCCATCTCCGGCCCAACTGGTCCGACGAATGCCTGAGTCCAGCCGTGCTGAACACGGACAGGGTGTGAGCCGCGCGCGCGCGACCGCGGCTCGCGGCCGTCCAGCCCACAGCCGCGCTCTCATCACCGCCGGCGGCCAGCGCCGAGCATCGCTTCTGCGATCTCTGGAAAACACAGAGTTGGAGCGCGCTGCGCACCATCTGGCAGGGCCGCAGCGCTGCACCGGTGTTTTTCCTTCGAGACACTGACCGACGACCTCTTGGCCGCTTCCGGCATCTCCACACCTTCGTCGAAGTGATTGGCTGGTCCCGATCGTGTCGTGGGAGTGACCCTCCGGGAGACCGGGTGTTACCGGCCACCGAGCGGCACGTGGCGCCCAGCCCTGCTCGGTACGGGAGAATCATGACGACGCTTGGCCCGCCTCCCGAGGCGTGACTGCCTGGTGACAGGCGACGCAGGCCCGCCGTGCGAAACACCCCTGCTACCCGGCTAACCCGACGGCGAGGTCGGATCAGTGCGTGGACCAGACTGGTGGCAGCGGAGTTGGCTGTCTGAGATGAGGGCAGAAGTTTGGTGCAGGCGTCTGGACGAAGGTGGATAGGGTGGCGCAGCGTATCGTGACTTTGGTGTGCTTAACGGCGCGGCTGAGAACGGCCTTTGCTCGGGTGTTGGGCTGCCTGCCATCTGTCCCCATGCAGGGTGCCAGTCACGTGACTGGTGAGGTGGGAGCGAGTGACGCCCCCCTGCCGATCAGTTTCCGTAACCGCCGCACTCTACGCCGAATGTGGCAATGAACCCACCCGTTGTAACCGTCGTAGTATAGCCGGCAGATTCTCACGCCCAGTGATCTTTTGACGTCATTATTGAGCGGAAAGCTGTGGAGTGACGGAAGCTCGCGGTGTCCAGCGAAAGTCGATGAAGGAGGCCAGCCAGCCAGACAGCTGAAACGCCCGCTGAGAGACTGCATGCATCATGCACAAGGAATGGGGGAGGGGGGCGGGGGGGGGGAGATCGTTCGATCGGGCTCGATTGGAGCCGATGCCAGACGTCTCTGAGTGGTTTAGAGAGACGCTGACTGAACAGCACACCAGCCGACGCCGGACATCACCGGTCTACAGCGCCCCGCGAACCGTCGGCAAGACGTCTGTGTCACTGGCAGCAGCTGGGCCGCGTGAACTTCACTTCTGCTTGCCAGTCTCATGTCCACCTGGCAGGTGTCGATGTTATTGAAAACTAAGCCTACCGTATCATCGCGTGCTTGCTGGTGGATAAAGCTACATACCTCAGTGCAATGTTTTGCGGTCAGAGCTTAAGCGTGAGGCGTGCGTCGGCGGGAAAATGGGAAGCGCATCATTGTGAGTGTTATTTATCTCAGTGACGTGATGCTGTTCGAGCTTATTTGTTCAGCTCGCTTCGTTCTGCCCAGCTGACATTTGTATGAAATAAAATGTTATGCATCGCAGGTCTCCATCACGTGCTGGGTAGTTGCAAGCCGTTTTTCAACGCCATTACAATGGACGATATAGGGTCGTAGCAGTGGGTGGAAGATGTGGAAAACTCGAAAGGAATTTGGCCCGATGACTTTTCTCAACGGCCCGGCAAGTTCGAATCCTAGATCGCATTTACTTACGCAACTGAATTATCATTGTCATCACAAGTTGTTTGAACATCAGCAATACACGGATTTCATAACCTAAGTGATTCCATGCATTTTAATGCAAAGATATGGTGACGGATGCCTCTGAACGACGAATGTAAAACGACCCCTCTGTCGTAATGCGCTTGTGCAAGATCGGTCACGGTGGCGTTTGCTTCTAAAGTATATAAATAATCCATCATCAAAACTCACTTGGGGTAGAGTCGGTGCGATCCTGGAGGCTTGCCAGCTGGCGAGCATCGCCTGAGTGAGGAAACCGTGCTGTTTTCTGCGTAGATAGTTATCGTGGCGACTGATGATGGTGAAGGCTTCGCGATGATATGAGCGTCAGGCTCCGAGATCCGAGCTGTCTGCTACTGCGCGTGAAGTTTTTCCTTTGCGTTTTTGAGCCGTCTGATCCTAATTCAGATCACCACATTGCCATCTACACACCACAATCATCATGTCGAATCTATTGTCAAAGGTTCCAAATCGATTGAAGGAGGATTTCCGGGGACAAAAAGTCATGCTAAGCTTGTCTTTTGCTGGTCCCATCCGTCAGTATCTTTCCGACCTTATTGGTTTGTAGTAGTTTGTTCCTTTTGTCCTCTGTGCTCAACTCTACACTCTTCATCTAAAGATGATCCGCGGCTGAAAATGTATGAACCTCTGCTCTTCTCTCTGTTTGGTGCCGTCATCTTTGCATCGTCTCCTCCGCACTTAGAGGAGTCATGTATTGCTCTCACATCCGGATTTAACACTACTATTACTACCAATACCAACACTACTCTCAGGTCAAAGGCAGCAGTCAGGTGAATGCTTGACGATGCTGAACTGGCAACTTTGCGGTAGGTGCTGCATCAAGCTGTTGCCATATTGCAAAGTCCAGACGGGCTGAATAAAGAGGCAAAAAGCTGCATGCCCACGACATTGGCTTTTTAAGAGATGATTGACACTGCTTTGCGAACAGAAAAAACGGAGGTAGGCTACATGTGAAGGAGTGCTGGCAAAGTCTTTAGGACACACCAAATGGGTCCGTATGAGTTGTTTCACCACCAGCGCCAGGTGGACACTCCCGAAGGATTCTTTACCTTGATCGGACGTGTTGCCGGGATGTATTTGGGACCACTGTCCACAGTTTGCTAAGAAAAGCTTCATGCCAAGATTATGTCCGTAGCCATCAGACAACAGTCCCATGAAGCGAACAATTTCAGCCGAAGTATTTTGACATGTCATGTAACGTCCCCACACGGTCGCTCCATTCCAGCCTGGCGCTCTGAGCCGGGACTGATGGCCACTGACGGGTCACACCAGCGCGGGCTCTGTGATACGAGCACTCACGTCTGCAGTATGGTGAAGCAGCCCGTTCACGGCACAATGTCATATTTATGCACGAGCTCAAGACGAATGCGGGTAGATTATGCTGCAATATTTCATTCGTTGCAAGACTATCCCTATCACGCACAGGCACAGCGTTGCTGTGAAACTTGAAGTAGCAATTGGTCATGTGCATGATCTGAGAGAGAAGTAACAGCAATTCACATGTAGCAGTTTGCTCGTTCTGTGCATAACAAAGCTCGATATGAAATGTGTTACGCTGAGCTTGAGGCTGTGATCAGCAAATAAGGTCACAACTTTGGAAAGTTCATATATGCCAGGAAACAAAAAAGAAATGGCGTCTTGCTGGTCAAGGTTACTGAATCCAACAACTCAATGGTGTTACAAGGCCTACAGAGCTCATGTGTGAGCTACTGGCGAAAAAACATTTAAATATACCCACTCTGATCGCTCCTAATATTGCAGAGCATATGCCTGCATGACTAAACAGGCTTGTCGTCTATCACGGACGCGCATCCGCTTATTGAAGTCTAGAATTTTAGAAGCAATACTTTAAGTACGCACACCGATCGGCCATAATCGCACACACGGTACTCTGTTCTTTGGCCACATCTCAGAACAGCCCGATTTTGGGAGCTTTACCCAGGCAGGCCATAAACGCGTGTGTGAATCATGCCAAAGACGCGTTTATAAATCAGGTCATAGGCACGTCGGAATGTGTGATTCATTTTTGATGTTCTCTTAATAAGCAGCGTATTATTTATTTTCAAACAGCCATTATTGCTGCAGTCGCACAGTTGATGGCCTGTTCTGTGAGCACCAAGCGAGTTCCTGTGCTTGCCTCCTTACACGATAAATAGCATGTTATAAAATATCCCCCTGCCATCTAAACAGACGATATTTCGATGTTTAAGATTGTGATACATACACAAATAAACAAACACAATTATGGCAAATTTCACTAGTTCAGGAGAGCATTAAAGGTAATATCGCAAACAATTAGGCATGCGCAATTTGGGCCATTCACCCTACCGCCGTGAGATGCCCGGCGTTCGAGCAACTAAGCGGCTTTGGGGAGACAGCAACGACGAACGCTAGGAGTAGCTTATTTTTGAAGCACTTACATTAGAATGCCAGCGTAAAGACTGCAAAGAAGTTAAATCTCAACATCCTGAAACTTATATTACATTAAAGTCGAACATGAAAAGCCATGTTAATTGTCCCCATGCATGCACTGTTTCTGATTTCGCTCGAGGCTAAATGGCTCGTCGAATTTGTTTATTTTCTCGCTCTTACTTCTCTTTATAGGCTTAAGATTAGACGGTCAGTTGGTAATGCAGCTTCAGGACTATTCAGGAGTTGAAAAACCAGGCAATAGTACAATCCTCTGCTTGAGAGTCCTACCCTGTGCCACCCTCCGTTTACCATCCGCCAATAAGCGTCGGTTAATGGGCCTTACACGTGCAAAGAGCCGGCTAGGTGGTTGTTGCAGACACTCCGGCGGAGCCCAAGCCAGCTCAGCGGTAGGGCATTATCACGGCCTGCGGCTGCAGCACGCCACCTCTGGATCAAGTGATGGGTGGGGAAAGTGGAGCGCACGGCTCCGATTTGTATGGCAAGCCGTTGGTCACCTATGGCTCTTATTGTAACGTTCAGGCAAATCCGTCAACGTTTGAACTCCAAAAATCAAGCGGCAACACCACCTGCGCCATGTTGCCACAAAATCAGGTGTTTTTTGAGACTCGAACCGTCCGTGTCTGTTCATCGTCACCTGCCGATCAACTAAAGGCACTGACCATCCGTTCGTCTAGAAAACTAGCGGTGGAAGCTAGTAGTGCCACCTATTGGTCAGCGGTGTTGTAAAACGACGCTAGCATCACCTTCACTCATTCGCTACAGTTGCATCATGTGCAGACGGTGGTACCATCACTTCTAGAGGTAGGATTCCGTTCGCCCAATCCTCCCCCCGCCCCCCCCCCCCCCCACCCATCATTCAGAAGTCTGTGCCACTCATACGCTACCTTTTCCTAATCGGTTGTACCCACCGTTTACAAGCCCACTTGTATTTTCCAGCACTTAGCCTTGATTGTG